AAGACAAGCTCTTCTGAGTAAATTGCGAGCATGGGGACCTTGGGAGAGGGTTGAAGGGGAGGGGAGAGGTAGGGAGGGGAACAGAGAAAATGTAGAGCTCAATTTAAAAAACAAAAAAGAACTGCTGGTCTATAACATCATGAAGTGTTCCATGGGTCATCCTTGTAAATTAGCAAGTTAAGGGCAAGACAACCTGCTAAGAGAATTAATGCACAGACTGAGCCTATTAGGCACCATGAGAGCTATGACAGCCACCCGAAATGGGTGAAGGAAAACCAGGAGAAGAAAAAAAGTCAAAGTTATAGGTGCCTGGGTTCAGCTGAAGCACCAGCCAGCTCCACCCAGAGAAGTAAGGTTTGTGGAGACAGACAGAAAGGAGCTTGGGCTGTTGAGTTTCTGGAAACCATTCCCTCTGAATTCATGCGTTAATGAACACACACACACACACAAAACAAACAAACAAAAAAAACCAGAAGACTTAGAGTGCTAAAAGTTTTCAAACATAAATGAAAATGTTGGTTGGCAGTTCCCTATGAGAGTTTAGCAAGTCTTGAGTTCCCAGTTTATTTTCTTATTAGAGTTCTTGGTTTTCTTTGATTCCTTTCTGACAAGTTAAGGACTTTTTCATGTGACATTGCTTCCCACACAACAACTCAGAGGAGGAGAAACTCCATTTCTTCCATTAAAAAAAAAATAGAAATCTACCCAACAGTTCATGAGTGAGTAGTGACTTTGTCATCTCTCTGACTTCATTCCACCCTCATCTTCCTGGAGGCACCGATTCATCCTCATCCCTCATGCAGAATTCTCCTGCCCACATCCGGCTCCTTTAGCATCTCTTTTTCTGGGCCAAGCACCATTCAGGTATTTTCCCAAATAAGCAAAATTCTCTTCTCATAAAAAATAAGATTCTCTTTTAACATATATTTTAAAGCTCTCATAAAATATATCCAGAATAGTTTTAAAATTACCCATATCACAAATCTTAACACGCTGGTATCCTTTGTTCCAGTTGTCATTATATTATATAACTGGCTCATTCTATATATACATTTATTTTGTATTCTGTCTAAAAATTTTATGCATTCTATTATAGAAAATTTTCATCGCTGCCAGAATGTATCAGGAAAAAAAACAATTTTCAGTGATTTTTATATTTTTCCATATTAGCTGGATAAGTTTGCTTAAAAATTATCCTTCTGGCTAGACAGTTTAGATTCTATATTGTCATTCTCCCAACTTGTGCTATAGTAAATATTTTTATCCTTTTTAAGAGAATATAATAGTGAGCTTAGTTAAAAACTAGGCAAGCACTGTAATAAATATTTTAACACACAAATCTTCTCCACTTTTTTTTTTTGCTATTCTATTGAGATGAATCCTAGGTGCAGAACTGGCAAGCTGAAGAACAAGGTCATCTTAAGTCTTAAGATAGGCACTGCTGAAGTGCTTCTCGAGAGATGGGAAGTGGGACAATTAGATACAAGATTTTCTTTCTACAGATAATTCAAGGAGCCAACTCTACGGAAGAGATAATTAAAATCTGAATCAAACTGTGGTGGTGGTGGGGGGTGCTGGGAGAGTGTTGATGTAGAGACAGGATGGGAGTCAGTGATATTTCTGAAGCAGAGAGCCAGGTATGGGTGGTGAGAAACAGTGAGGATCAGTGGCAACTCACCCTGCTATCTGCCTAACTAAGATGATACTGATTTTTTGTTTCCATACAGAAAGAGACAATGATGAAAGAGTGTAGATGTGCAGGAAAAGATAATTTGGTATGGGACTTATTTTATCTGGGTTATATGCCAATTTTTAAAAGCTTTGGGTGGAATCTAACAGACTCACGGAACCATTGTTCTCAGGCATGGGAACATCTGTTGTTTTTGCCAGTCTGACATCTGGCTCTCCTTCACAGGAAGAATTTGGGGTGCCAGTCTGGGTTAGAAGGAGCCTCGTCTCAGAGCTGCAATATTTTACACCTGCTTTTTAATTAAATTGCAGGTGTCTCTGGCTTGGTAAATGTAGATGGGGGATGATTGAGCATCCAGGTCTTCCCTGAGGATCACTAGAGGCATCCTTCCTTTAATCTGCTAATAAGCCTGGAAGGGTTGGTTTTCCCCATCCTCTTGTGCTGTGGCTTTGCCACACCTGGCACTCCTCTGTCACATCTATAACCCAAGTCAGCTAATTAGAGACAATGAAGTTGATGTCTACCAGTTTCCAGGAGATGGCCAAAAATTAAAGCTATTTCCCAGGGATCTCAAGCTAAGGGGAATTGGTCTATATATGGAGTTGTTGACAATTATTTTGCTTGTCTGGCAATTGAAGCAACACCAAATAAATCTGGCTAATGACTGGTTCTGACTGGCATCCTAGGGTTCAAGTACATTGATGACAGTTCTTGCATTTTTCAGTCTTTGAGACATTACAATTCTTTTTAATCTTAAGGCAGTTTACAGTCAAATAATCTTGGACTAACACAGTCATATGGTATGAGTATCAGAAAATGATTGCTTTCTGATAAAACCAAGAGGAGTCCTACTATGAGGACATTCTATTTTGTTTTATATTTAATGGTTGACATAGAAATAAGGAATATCTTTTGTAGGGTCGATGTCCAAATAATAATGATCAAAAACATGGGTGTAGAAATTAAAACATTAAAATTTATAACTGCTTGAAGTTGATAGCTAGAATATCATAAATTTAGTTAGGTTTTACATGCTTTGCTTTGCGTGTGTGTGTGTGTGTGTGTGTGTGTGTGTGTGTGTGTGTGTGCGTGTGTACACATGCATGTATACTTGCCTTTGCATGTGTGAGTAGAGGCCAGCGGTCCATGTTGGATATCTTCCTCTATGCATCTTATTCAATTTTTAAAAACTACATATTTTAATTATGGGGGACACATGTACAAGTGGGAGTCAGAGGACAACTTCTGAGGGTGAAGGGTTGGTTCTTCATTATACCACATGGTTCTCAGGAATCAGACTCAGGTTGCCAGGCGTGGTGACAAGCTTCTTTATCTGCTGAGCCATTTTGCTGGCCCCATCTTCTTTTTCGAGACAAACTCTTTCACTGAACCTGGAATTTGGTCTTTTTAGCTAGGCTGGATGGTCAGTGAAGCCCCAGGATGCACCTATCTCTGCCTCCCTAGTGTTCAGCACTTAGGGACCTGGAGATCCAAGCCTCACACTTGCTCAGCAAACACCTTCCCCTTTGAGCCATTGCCTTGGTGCTGACCTTCTGTTTCTTTTCGAGGTTGAAGGATGCATGGCAGGGTGCTGACATGCGAACAGCACGAGGAAATTCTAATTTACTTGAATTTTAGAACACACTTCAAGTCTCTGGAACATGCAGCTTCATACTAGGACTTTGCATTTCAGGAAACAGATTACCAAGGGATTATGGTTCTTTTACTTCAAATGTCCACCAGGTCTCCATTTGTTGATCCAAGGAATATCTGGGGTCTGGTTGCCACATTATATTTGCGCGACTTTCAGAGAGTGACAGCAAACACGCCACCTAGCAGCAGAGGCTTGGCTGCCCTTTCTGCTCTGACATTAGTAACAGAGCACATAGAGAACTGGTCAGATTTGGTCTCCTTCCGTGGGTGTTTATGAGTGGTTCATTTTCTAGCCGTCGCTGTGCTTCAGCCATCTCTTTTAGTCTGGAGTTGTCATTTGAGGATGGCTTAATTAAGAATGTTTTTGCTTCATACTCCACCCTTGGGTCATTAAAAATTGCAATGGAAAATATGATAATGGGAAAATAAATTATTTAAATCTATTATTAATCTGAAGTTCTTAAATATGTATCATGGGATCTGTAAAACACTGTGCTGGAAAAAATCGGTACAGAAAGAAATTCTTAGTCTACATCCTGCCTCATAAAATAATATGTAGCTAGTAATTAATATTGTACATATGTACAGCAACAAATATTTAAGTTTTTCTAAATGTAGTGCTTGAATTTACGTAGTCAATGTCTCTTTCAGGAGTAGTCTACCTAGCTACAATTATTTAGACCATTTGATCTCAAAATTACACTAAAACATGCCCTTCAAGAAGTCATTTAATTATGATATAATTGCTGCTATCCAAAACAGCAATTGAAAGAACGTCTGGCGGTGGGAGTGGGGATGGGGGTGGTGGCAGTGACAAACATTGTAATTCAAGAGGCAGAAACAGGAGGATCATGAGTTTGAGGCCTGTTCAGCAACAGTATTGTCAAATCCAGGAGTCAGCGCTATTTATTAGGACATTGTCGCTAATGTGTCAAAAGTACATTTGCGAGGTCGGATTTTATTCTTGCCAAATTTACGAACCAGAGAGCACTATAATAAGCAGAAATACACACATAAGGGATGGAGGAGGTGGTTAAGGGATGTTAATTCATAGGCATATAAAGTAGCTGAGGTCGCTCAGATTCCTGGGCAAGAAAGCCGAGCAACAGGAATCCAGTTCTGAAAGGTTGGTTCGGTGAGGAATTCAGATCCCGCGAGGGTGGGAACACGTACTTAGATCTTGGTAGGGAAGGCTACGGGTGAGCACGGAGCCCCCGGATTCTACTCTAACTCCGGGGGGGGGCGGGGCTG